CTTCGAGAAGGCCTTACGCAAAGAGCAAGGGGCACTGGACGCCGCCGTAGAAAAATAGACCGTGAAGATCCCCGCCTAAGATTATGGGCCTTAACGGACCGTTTCTCCACTACCAGGTCCATTGCAAATGAATGGTTTGCAGAACACGGAAGACCTATTGGCATGTGAAGTGTTTACCGACGAATGAGAAGTTTTGGCTTGTTTTCATACCGACCACACTGGGTCCTCCCTTTAACTCGAGAACACCGACGTAATCGCCTTGAGTGGTGCAGACAACGGTCACTCTGGGATCAGGAATGGAACAGTATTGTCTTTAGTGACTAGTCTCGATTTTGTTTAGGCAAGCCCGATGGTCGTGCCAGGGTTAGAAGGCGACGTGGTGAAAGGAGGAATCCACAGTTTTTTGTTGAAAGACATGTTCATCACACTGTCGGTGTTATGGTTTGGGGTGCTATAGCTTATGGTTCCAGGTCACCTTTAATCTTCATCAGAGGTAACATGAACGCGAAGCGTTATATCCACGAAGTTCTAGAACCCCATCTTTTACCCTATCTTGACACCCTGGCAAATCCAACTTTCCAACAAGATAATGCCCGACCACATGTTGCAAGAGTCACAATAGACTTCTTTCAACATAATGATGTCACATTGTTACCTTGGCCACCAAGATCTCCCGACTTATCCCCAATTGAGCACGTGTGGGATATGATGGGTAGGAGATTGCTCAATTTGCAACTTCCTCCTCAGACTCTAGAAGCACTTCGAGAGGAGTTGGTGGTTGCCTGGAATGAGATACCACAGGAGGACATTGACCACCTGATCAGAAGCATGCCTAGGCGCGTTGGAGAATGCGTAGCACATCAGGGTGCATCCACACATTATTAAAGGTCAAAGGGCTTTAAAGCAGTGCGATCATTTTGAAATTTTTATCATTTACTTATTATGCTTCATTAAGTACTTATACAAAATTTTATTAAAATAAAACCATTTAAACTGGGTGTTCGGATTTATATGTCACTTAGTATAATTTTGAACCGTTGTAGTTTTTCAATGTTCGCTATTTTATTTCTTTATTATTAGTTTTTTTGTATCAATTTGTGCTTTGTTTATTAGGAAATATGTTACTTTCAAGGTTTTGCAATATGTTTACCTAAATTTTGATTGATTTACCCAAGAAAGGATTTTTATAACAAACAAAAATTAATTTTATAAAATTCCGACCAAATAGCTTGCTCAGTTCTCACTTTGAAAACAGTTTCTCAATATTTCCTTTGTTCAAGATTATAACGATCCATGCTGGACTTTTGGTACAAGTGTTACCAACTGTCAAAATAACCAGCTTAAAGAAAAACCAACTGACGACGATTTATCACGAGTTATCAAGATTTATCACGATTTATCACGATTTATCACGATTTATCACGATTTATCACGATTTATCACGATTTAACACGATTTATCACGATTTATCACGATTTATCATGATTTATTACGATTTATTACGATTTATTACGATTTACTACGGTTTATCACGATTTATTACGATTTATTACGATTTATTATCATTTATTAGGATTTATCACGATTTATTACGATTTATCACGATTTATTACGATTTATTACGATTTATTACGATTTATCACGATTTATTACGATTTATTACGATATAAATCGTCCCTTATAAGTATCAATAAATACAGTACTTGACTACTACCAAAGAATTTTATTAGAAAAAAAATAATGAAAAGATAAAATATTGATATCTTGTGCAGCGTCTGAGGCACGTCAGGTTGGTGGTAGCGGCACAAAAGTTGCACGTTAGGGGTTAAAGGTCAAATAGAATATTTAGGTAACGTAACATTATTTGTCTTTTTTGTATACTAAGTGACATATAAATCCGAACACCCAGTTTCAATGGTTTTATTTTAATAAAATTTCGTATAAGTACTTAATGAAGCATAATAAGTAAATGATAAAAATTACAAAATGATTGCACTGCTTTAAAGCCCTTTGACCTTTAATAATGTGTGGATGCACCCTGATGGAAAGTTGGATCTGCCAGGGTGTCAAGATAGGGTAAAAGATGGGGTTCTAGAACTTCGTGGGTATAACGCTGCGCGTTCATGTTACCTCTGATGAAGATTAAAGGTGACCTGGAACCATAAGCTATAGCACCCCAAACCATATCTCCAACAGTGTGATGAACATGTCTTTCAACAAAAAACTGTGGATTCCTCCTTTCACCACGTCGCCTTCTAACCCTGGCACGACCATCGTGCATGCCTAAACAAAATCGAGACTCGTCACTAAAGACAATACTGTTCCATTCCTGATCCCAGAGTGACCGTTGTCTGCACCACTCAAGGCGATTACGTCGGTGTTCTCGAGTTAAAGGGAGGATCCAGTGTGGCCGGTATGAAAACAAGCCAAAACTTCTCATTCGTCGGTAAACACTTCGCATGCCAATAGGTCTTCCGTGTTCTGCAAACCATTCATTTGCATTGGACCTGGTAGTGGAGAAACGGTCCCTTACGGCCAATAATCTTAGGCGGCGATCTTCACGGTCTGTTGTTCTACGGCGGCGTCCAGTGCCCCTTGCACTTTGCATACGGCCTTCTCGAAGCCATGCCTGACAACACCTAACCACAGTGTCTACACTTCTTTGCACTCTAACTGCAATTGCCCGAAAATAAAGTCCAGCTTCCCGAAGTCCCACTATACGGCCCCTATCAAACTCACTAAGTTGACGAAATCGTACAGGTCTCCTTACTCTAGGCATCGTAACCGATCGTAAAGGATGTCAAGAACCAAAATTCGCCAACGTTGATTCTTTACTGCGGCTGAAATTTTTAGAGCGTTAGTGAATTAAAAAAAAGCAGTATAAAAACCGGAATGTCCAACTGATAAGGCTGAAAATTTTTTCACTTGTTATTTACAGTAAGATAAATACATTCACCAACTTTTATTAAAATAAAACCATTTAAACTGGGTGTTCGGATTTATATGTCACTTAGTATATGTATTAAGCATTGAAATATGTTTAAGAACAATTGTTATTTGTGAAATTTCTTCTTATGTTTGTTTTCACAATGTGTATTGATTAATGTAATTTGAAATACATGATTTTAATAAAAAAAATGTAATTCGATACGAGTTTGTGTACTGTTCTTGCTTTTTCCGTTTAAGGGAAAACCGCTATTAGACTCCCTCGTATTTCGGCTCACATTAATTAGCCAAAAACAGAGCCGCTTTTTGCAATAATTATATGGGCGGGTTTTATAACGGTATCAAGCCCTTGGCGCAAATGAAAACGCCCTTCAGAGACAGCTTCTCTTTTTGTCCAAGGTTTTGCTATCTTCCAGTACAAACCGACGTACTCCTTTCGGAACAGCTCTTTCCTTTTTGAATAAACAACAGAAATTAGCTAATATTAGCGTTTGCTTTAATGTCACTACTGTTGGTCCTTAGTATATTTAATAAGGGGTACAGGGGCTTCTAATGAAAAAAGCCTGCTCGTCAAAGGTCGTAGGACTCTCTCCCTTTCGTGAAGTGTGTATTTTATAAATAGCTTTTCAGTGGTGTGCACTGTGGAAAATGAACTTGTCAGTTGGAGGACGAGGAGGGGTGCGTTTGTAAATCACTTGGCAATATAATACCGTACACAGTAATGGAATATGGACTGAGAGGTGAAATTTGGCTCTAAAATACTGTGATAGAACGTCTGAATTATTACAGTTATGCAATTGAAAGCTATGGTGCTTCCGCTTGAGTGGTTTCGTGATTATTTACCCGACAGATCACAGTACGGGTATGTTGAAATTGAAAATCATATATCCGAAATGCGTAAGAGTGAAGTGGGAGTTCCGCAAGGCTCTATCTTGGGACCATTGCTGTATATAACTTTCGTGAATGACTTCAGTAGCACTAATTATGTTATGTATGCGGACGATACGTCTTTATTAGTAGATGCAAAGAACACAGCGATGGTTCTACGATAATGAGCTCTTGCTTACCGCAAATAACATATGCAGACCAATACACATAATCATATCCAGATGCGATCTTGCTATTCAACTTTCTTCTCAAAGATAAAAACTACAGACCCGGATCATTCAGCCTCACAAAGCTATGCAACCAAGAATGCACAGTTTAATTGAGTGATTCCTCCATAGATGGACGTTCACAACGATCCTAGTGAGCAAACGTGGAATGACTCTCTTTGCGCCCTAAAAACTACCTAGTCTGCAAGTTGACATCTTTTAGGTTATTTTTTTGACGTTTTATAACTTTATTACATGATACCCGTGCCGGTATTTCTACGCACCTATTAGACATATTTCACACATTATTGCAATGTTGGTTGCCTATACAGTTCCCTCTGCGAATCCGCTGTTCGCAATGAAATCTAGAAAGCAACATTGTTACTTTCCGTTTTACTAACATTTACCATGAAAATCAGCGAAGAAAAATCTTTCTGACATCGATGACAGCCTATGATGACAGCTGCCTACTGTGAAGTGCAACTGTTAAGACCTCCCTTGAGTGTTCCTTAAGAAAGCGATATTATCCGCTTGGATAGATGATTCCTCATGGCACTCAATCCTCTAGGAACGTTTATAAATGTGAGCCTTAAGGTGCAGTCAATTGTAGGACGCCCTTTTGGCCTCCTTGATTTTCAGCGTCAGCGCTCTCCTACTGAAAGGTTACGCTTTCTTTTTGAATCGTAGGAAATTTCAGGCCGCTAAAACAGATGATATAAATCAAAAGCATGAACAATTTTATGCAAAGAGATATCTGTAGCAACCTCAACATAGAGCGGTGACTCGGAACTGTAGAAATCTAGAAAGGACAGGAAAAATATGAAAAGCAAGGAGCCAATAAAGGCGACGACTGCCGACACGGCCTTAAACCTCCGAGGGTACAGATTTCTTACTGTATCACCTGCACTATAGCATTTCCCTTAGAGATGATTCGTGGAGACAGCTCCTCATTGTTAACACAGTAAAGATTCTGGTGACGTTGTTATGATGAAGGATTGGCCTAGAAATGAAAAAGGAGAGCCGCATGCGAATACCCACGTGAAATATGTTCAGCTTGGGCGGTTAAAAGCTATCATTTATAAAAACGGGGCTTTACAGCCTGAAAACGAGCATCATTTTTATGCTAAGTGTTATTTTTATGGCATAGACCTGAAGACGAATGTCATATAAAAGCTCAATGAATTTCTTCTTTCTCTCGTTTATGGACCATCAAATGTAGTAGAACTCATTTCACTGGCGCTCCCACGGGGAGTAAAGGGGGTAATTACACCCTCCCTCCTCCAGACGACTCGAGCAGTCTTTGAAAAGGTGGTAAGTCTTATTTAAAAAGACCTGTACCTTCAAGAAAGGATAGCGGCAACACTGCCAACCCGCCCAGTGCGCATGCGACTAGCGACTACTCTCCCACCAACAGTTATACTTTAATCTTTTATGGTCTACAGTATATTCAGATAAGAGAAACACCGGATGTAAACAAAAGGTTCGGGTGATTTTCACGCTAACGCCGCCGTCTCGACGTAAAACAGGAGCCCTCATTGGTCCATTCGCAATTAAATGCCTATGCCGAGCGGCAGAGCAGTCGTATCAAGGCAGAGTCACATTCAGGTTCAGACGTGTTACGTATGTCGTGTGCATCATTGCAATTTGATATTTCTTTGGACGTTTTCATTTGTTATCTTATTAAGTTGTTGAGTTTGTCGTTGTTATTGTTATACCTTGTTATTGATTGTTATTGTTATCAACTGCTTGCGCAAAATGCCCAGTAGTACAGATACTGCCGATGAAGTTGTAAACTCCTGTAGTCCACCTAGGAAACGCTCTAAAAAAAGACACCTGAGTGCAGAAATGAAAGAGGTCATTTTGAATATATATAAGAGCGAGCGCGAGGAGAACGAGGCATCAACCATCAAAGAAATTGTTGTGAAGGTTTCTCACAAAGTTGGGGTGTGTCGCGCATCAGTGCTTAATGTGTTGAGACAATACAAAAAAATCACACCTTTTCTGAGCCAATGACCAGTAAACATCGCAAAAGTATTGTTAAATCATTGGATGAAGCTGATAAGCATGCGATTAGGAGGAAAGTGCATGAATTCTTCTTTAGGAATGAAATACCTACTATAGATAAAGTACTGCTGGAGGTAAATGGAGATACAACGTTGCCAAATTTCAAACGATCAACTTTCCATGCGTTACTGAAGCATTTAAATTTCAAATGGAAAAAACGGGGTCGTAATAGTTTACTACTGGATAGAGAAGAAATTGTGCTATGGAGGAGGGATTATTTAACAAAAATTGGGAAATATAGAAATCAAAACAGGAAGATTTATTACCTTGATGAAACGTGGGTAAACGCAGGACACACTACAAGTAAAGTATGGGTTGATGATTCTGTAACTTCATCCAGGAGGGCCTTTCTAGATGGACTGTCCACCGGATTAAAAAATCCAGCAGGTAAATACGAGTAATAGACAACAATCGGATGTTTTTCAAACCTTGGGAACAAGGTTCTAAACATTAATTCCAGGGGGCAGATAAAACATATTACAAGTAACAAAACTTTTATAACTTTCGATAAAATGCGTGGATGTTTTATTGTCATTTTCATTTGTTAGAACTTTTTTAAGCCATGTTTTTATGTGTTTTCGATATTTCAATAATTTTTTAATATAATCTTAAAATATGTCGAATATTATAAACTTAAAAAAAGTTACTAAGTTTTATATTGTGTACCGTTCCTAATATTTCTAATCATTTTAATTCATACTTTAAGCTTTATTTATAGTTATAATTTGTTAATATTAATATTTGCGCGTATTTCAGGTTCCTGATCATTCATTTTTTAAAGGTTTATAACTTTAAATTAAATTGTGAAGCGCTGAGTAATCATACGACGTTCAATATTCTTTCTTTCAGTATGACTAAATAATCCCAATTATAGCAATCTGATACTCATGTCTCAATGTTTTTTCGCTGAATGTGATGAAAACATTTGAAAAAGGTTCGCTTATTGAAATAAATCTACACCAGTTAGTACTTCGATTTCCAGGTAAAGGGAAAAGGCTCATTATCTGCCATATTGGCAGTGAGGATGGATTTGTTGTTGACGGTCTGTGGTGCTTTGAGTCTAAGAAAACTGGAGATTACCACGAGGAAATGAATGGCGAATCGTTTGAACAGTGGTTTTCAAAAATTTTACCGAACTTAGAGGAAAACGCAGTAATTGTGTTAGATAATGCGCCTTATCATTCTCGAAGAATGGAGAAGGTCCCAACAACGGCTTCAAGGAAAGTTGATGTTCAAAATTGGCTCCGCTCGAAAAATATCAACTTTGAAGAAGCAATGCTGAAAGTACAATTATTAAGAATTGTCAAGGATCACAAGGCGGAATATCAAAAATACGCCATTGACGAAATGGCAGCAAGTCAAAATAAAACTGTGGTCCGTTTACCTCCATACCATTGCGAGCTCAATCCCATATGGGCAGAGGTTAAACATTATATAGCTAAGCACAATACAACTTTTAAATTTTGTGACCTCAAAGGACTTTTCAAAGAAGCACTAGAATTAATAACAGCGCAAAAATGGGAAAACTGTATTAAGCACGTGAAAGACAAAGTTGAAAAGAGAATGTGGGAACTGGGCAATATTTTAGAGGAACAAGTCGAGCCATTCATTATTGACGTTGGTGCTTCAGGCAGTAGCGATGATGAAAGCTCATCAAGCTCATCTTTCCAATAAAAGATGTCGTTCATCAAATTCGGTAAGTTATAAGTAATTATAAAGCTACAGTATTTTTTAATTAATTATTGACATTTTTGAACCCATTTTGGCAAAACCTATTCAAGAATCTACTTTCTGACAATGTTCAACCATGCACATTTTTTTACGTTTTGAACGTTTTAATTTGGTTACATATTTACCTAGAAATCAAAAAATATACTAATCAATATTCTAAAAGCAATTTTAAGAGATATACGATTATTTTTAATTTAGGCTAATTTAAACGCCATTTTGAGATTATATTCGACTGTATTTCACCAAACATCAGGCGGCATCCGAAGCTGGAAATCGAAGCGAAAATTTTGATACCCTTATGTATATTTACATCATTATATATTTCTTACCCCACCCCCACATGATCCTATATCCATCACCAATCGTATACACATCGAATTGTGCTAATTTACTACAAAGTTACGCAAAGCAAAGCTACTATCTAAAATATGTAAAGCGTGACTCTTAATACGTCCCTACCGAATGTTACAGCATTCGATGATCACGTGGTCTTGTTTATGTCCGGTCTATCTCTTATCTGAATATACTGTAGTCAGTGTCTAAACAAAAAACAAAATTTGGCTGACAAGTGAACAAGCGGAATTTTGTTGATCTGGTTGGTATTAACGCTATTTTCTATGTTCTACTGATTTTTTATTTTCCACGCATAAGCCAGAAAATTAATTTAGGTTTGTTTTTAATTTTTATGCTATAAAAGAATCGTGTCTTCCGACACGAAATTTCGAGTTAAAATTTTGATCACCTTCTACATATCACTAGACCTGAAAAGTATTCCCAAAATTACAACACTCCTAGTCGGTGTGGCAGTTTCTACATCACTTTATACGTAATCAATGGTAGTGTGTTCGGAGTCAGTCGTCAGTCGTCCCTACAATATTGTAGGGCGCCTTTATGGCCTCCTTGATTGTCATAGTTTTCTGCTTCTCCGTATCAGAACTCTATTTTGAGGTTATGTCACAAACATCTATTTGCATCAAATTGTGCTTGCTTTTGAGTTATATCATGTTTTATCAGCCTGAAATTTCCTACAATTTAAAAAGAAAACATATCTTCACAATAGGAGAGCGCTGACGCTCACACGGGACAAGTGTAATCTAGAAATTTTTGAAGGAGAGAAAGGAGGATGACAATCAAGGTGGCCATAAACTCGCCCTACAATTGTAGGGACAACTGACGATGCGGGCCTTACACGTTCGCTACGTCAGCTGAAACATCTGTAAAGTCACTTCATCACCATGAAACGTATAAACGCTGTTAATTCGTTTCAGTAGCTGTTTTCTAATAAACGCAACCGGCAATCCATAAAACAGTGTTAGTCGAAAACCATCGCTAGGTGAACGCAGTCAATGCAGTTAGTTCAGATTCGCTCGGTATAAGCTATTACCATATTACAGAATTACTTACGTCTTGGCCTAGATACGTCTGTCAGAACTAAAACACTAATTTTCAGGGCATCTAAAGTGAGCAGTTCTTTTGATGTGTTTCTGGTTAGAAGAGATTTGACAAATTTTTATTGATATAACGTGAGTCTTCGTGAAAGTGTTACCTCGGCGTATTATATAAGTTGAGATATGCTGTGATACGGAAGCTTAATCCATTGATCCAGCTTCGACTAAATGTAATATACGAGGGGCGTGAGAGAACTATCACATACGTAGCGCATGGGTATCATATAAAAAACCTATAAAACGTCAAAAAGGCCTATAAGATGTCATCTTGCAAACTAGGTAGTTTTTAGGGCGCAAACAGTCAACCCAAGTTTGCTCACCAGGATCGTTGTGAACGTCCATCTAAGGAGGAATCACTCAACTAACTACATGCATTATTGGTTGCATATGTTTTGTGAGGTCAAATGGTCCTTGTCTGCAGTTTTTATCTCTGAGAAGAAAGTTAATAGCATCTGGATGATTATGTGTATTGGTCTGCAAATCATTGATATTTGCGTTGTGAGAAAATCATTACTGAATATGCTGCCAATGAAGTATATCTATTGGCTGTGCCCGACGGGTTATTTTTATGTTGTGCTTTCTGAATAGAGGTTATGTTCAAAGCTATAAATTACGAAAAACTGAGGAGAATTACGGGAAATCATCACCGCGCCCGCGTTGTGTGTAATTACTGTTAGCATGTATATGGCTTGTAATTCGACAGTGTACAGTGAATATAATTATTTCTTATCTCTCTCATTTTTGAAATTCAGCAAATTTGTATATGTAGTCACCAGAATGGATAAGAAAAAGTGGATGCGCAACTAATTTTCTACCTTTGAATCTCATTTAAGTGTATTTGAGACAAGAACTTAATCCTTAACGGGAGTAGTCACAGCAAAAAAAAACAGTGTTGCAACCAACATTTCTATTAACATTACTATTAGTATTCCATAAAGGCCTAAATATTGTTGAATTGATCATGAATACAAAAATTGAGCAATGTAGTATTAGTACTGTACAAGCAAATTTCAACAAAATTGGCAAAATCTAAGACAAAAAAATGTTAGGCAATGACTAAAATCTGAACTATTGTATTATTCTAGTACATACAAGTTCATACTGTCATCAGAAAATAGATTTTGCTTAGATTATAATGACCGTGTAACACGAGATCAACCACCTTAAATACTCAAAATAACGCCCTCGTATAAATTTTAGTGTCATTCCTACCAAAGATTATTTGCACTGCTTAGTATCCAAATGTAAATAATCAATCATGTATATCCGTTGATAACGTGTTTTTGTGAGCTTAGTGTGTCAGCTGGATTAATGACACTTGCACATTCATCAACCCTATAATCCTTTAAGATGCTTTACCGCAAACCATTCGTATAAAACAATGTTGATTTTTTAATATTAGAATAATAGATAGATGATACAGTAACTGTTCAGAGAAAGCCAAATTATATGCTCTCTCCACCTATGCTTCTATACAAGAACATTGAAAGAATCAATTTATTTACTAAGTGACATATAAATCCGAACACCCAGTTTAAATGGTTTTATTTTAATAAAATTTTGTATAAGTACTTAATGAAGCATAATAAGTAAATGATAAAAATTTCTAAATGATTGCACTGCTTTAAAGCCCTTTGACCTTTAATAATGTGTGGATGCACCCTGATGTGCTACGCATTCTACAACGCGCCTAGGCATGCTTCTGATCAGGTGGTCAATGTCCTCCTGTGGTATCTCATTCCAGGCAACCACCAACTCCTCTCGAAGTGCTTCTAGAGTCTGAGGAGGACGTTGCAAATTGAGCAATCTCCTACCCATCATATCCCACACGTGCTCAATTGGGGATAAGTCGGGAGATCTTGGTGGCCATGGTGACAATGTGACATCATTATGTTGAAAGAAGTCTATTGTGACTCTTGCAACATGTGGTCTGGCATTATCTTGTTGGAAAGTTGGATCTGCCAGGGTGTCAAGATAGGGTAAAAGATGGGGTTCTAGAACTTCGTGGATATAACGCTGCGCGTTCATGTTACCTCTGATGAAGATTAAAGGTGACCTGGAACCATAAGCTATAGCACCCCAAACCATAACTCCAACAGTGTGATGAACATGTCTTTCAACAAAAAGCTGTGGATTCCTCCTTTCACCACGTCGCCTTCTAACCCTGGCACGACCATCGTGCATGCCTAAACAAGATCGAGACTCGTCACTAAAGACAATACTGTTCCATTCCTGATCCCAGAGTGACCGTTGTCTGCATCACTCAAGGCGATTACATCGATGTTCTCGAGTTAAAGGGAGGACCCAGTGTGGCCGGTATGAAAACAAGCCAAAACTTCTCATTCGTCGGTAAACACTTCGCATGCCAATAGGTCTTCCGTGTTCGGCAAACCATTCATTTGCAATGGACCTGGTAGTGGAGAAACGGTCCCTTAAGGCCAATAATCTTAGGCGGCGATCTTCACGGTCTGTTGTTCTACGGCGGCGTCCAGTGCCCCTTGCTCTTTGCGTACGGCCTTCTCGAAGCCATGCCTGACAACACCTAACAACAGTGTCTCTCACTTCTTTGCGCTCTAACTGCAATTGCCCGAAAAGAAAGTCCAGCTTCCCGAAGTCCCACTATACGGCCCCTATCAAACTCACTAAGTTGACGAAATCGTACAGGTCTCCGTACTCTAGGCATCGTGACCGATCGTAAAGGATGTCAAGAACCAAAATCCGCCAACGTTGATTCTTTACTGCGGCTGAAATATTCATTTTTAGAGCGTTAGTGAATTAAGAAAAAGCAGTATAAAAACCGGAATGTCCAACTGATAAGGCTGAAAATTTTTTCACTTATTATTTACAGTAAGATAAATACATTCACCAACTTTTATTAAAATAAAACCATTTAAACTGGATGTTCGGATTTATATGTCACTTAGTATATCTGCATTATTTCGTCATTTTATTTACATCTGATACCCGATCAGACTAAAGTTATTTTTGACATTTAGAGGAAAGGGGGATATGCCGCCTGGGTAATACGCCGCAGCTTGTTATCTCCTTTTAAGCCTACATTTGGCAACAGTGTTAACTTTAACACGTTCTTCTAATGTAGCAATCTTCTGTGCATACCTTAGAAAACAAGTTAATTAGTGTTTTAGTGAACATATAAAGTATAAAGGTAAGGACCGTTTAAAAAAAATATCCTCAAGTCAAGTTATACTCAGTGATAAAAGGAGTTGTAAGTGTTTTTCATCCAATCTTAATAAGAGTACGCCGACATACGATTCCTAAACTAACTTTTTTTGGCGGAACAATCCGTTGAATGTATCTAAAATAGGTGTTGCCACTTTTTGATGTAATGAGGTACAATGTGGGGTAATATTCCTATTCCGAATTGGAACTGGATGAATCAGAATTTTGTGCCCAATGCGGTGAATACTATTTTGATAGAAAAGTTCCCAAATGTGATTGGTTGCAATGTCTAAAATGTCATGATCGAGTTCACGAGATATGTACTCCTTCAGACATATACAGGGTGTTCCATAATTATTGCGACAAAATGATAGGGGTTGTAGAGGGCATCAAAATGAACAATTTTGCCTTATAAACCCCTGTTCGGAAATATGCCGTTTGGGATGCAGCAAAAAAAAAAGATCAGTTTCTTGAAACAGCTTACCTACAGTAATTGCTCAAAGTGTCCTCCACCTTGCTCAATACACAGCTGTGCACGATTGTTCAATGATCGGCGAACTCTGTGGCATACCCCCGGTTTGTCCTGAACATGTGCGGACGCGGCCATCACTCTTCCCAGTAGCTCTTGTTGGTTGGGAACAGTAGTTTCGTACACTAAAGCTTTCAGATGGCCCCAGAGAAAATAATCCAGTGGGGTCAGGTCGGGTGACCGCGCAGGACAAGGCACAGGGCCACCTCGGCCGATCCACCTATTTGTCGTCCAAATACTGCCGCACTTGTAAAGAAAAGTGGGCTGGAGCGCCATCGTGTTGAAACCACGTGTTGGCTCTTATGTTCAGTGCCACATTTTCTAATAGTTCCGGTAGCACATGCTGTAAGAATCGACCATAAGCATGCCCATCCAAACGTGGTGGAAGCAAATATGGCCCGATGATATGCTCGTCCACAATGCCGCACCAGATGTTAATAGAAAACTATGTTGGTCTCTATGGATGGCTATGGCATGAGGGTTTTCTACATCCCAAATGTGACTGTTACGGCTATTAAAATAACCTTCCTTTGTGAAACAGGACTCGTCAGTTAACAAAACGTAGCGACCAAAGTTTGGTTGCCTCAACTCCTGCTGCAGCCACCAACGACAAAAACGTCGACGCGGCAGATAGTTTTCTGGACCCATGGCTTGGACTTTTAAAAGGTGGTATGGGTGTAGTTGCTGGTCATGGAGAACCCGCCAAGCAGTAGTTTGAGACGCTCCCATTTCATGTGCAATAGCACGCACGCTTGTACGCGGATTGGCCTCTAGTTTGACGTACCACTCAGATAAATTAAATGAATCGGTGTGGAGAATTTACGATAACAAAAATGTAAACACAGCAGGCTTTTTTTTACAAATCGGCGAGACCATGAAATGTGCTAGACGAACATTTTGCAGCTGTTGAATTTTTTGTTTCTCTTAAGGTAAAATTAGCGGTAGTGCTCAAACGGCATATTTACGAACAGGGGTTTATAAGGCAAAATTGCATATTTTTATGCCCTCTACAACCCCTATCATTTTGTCGCAATAATTATGGAACACCCTGTATATATTGTAGCGATTGTGTTCTACTAAATCAACTAGCAAGTACCTCCAGAGCTCTGGAGATGAGATTTATTAGCCTTATCGTATTACTGAATAATGCTTGTTATGTCGCAAGGATTATATATTTTTTTCTAACCTAAAAAAAGTTGTTCAACTTTTACAAGAAGAGCATGTTGCCATATTCCCCAAAGCATGATGCTATATTACCGATAGGTACGGATAATATGGCCATAGCGTATCATTCGACATTTTTGCTTCTAACCATTCTTCAGTCTGGGATTATGTCAACGAGCGTTTCAAGTCACATACTTAAATATACACGCTCTAAGATGCCGCCTTCTTCTTGTGGTTGGGTTCGAACTCGTACATATTTCATCATCCGAAAATCCGGATTAAAAAATCCAGCAGGTAAATACGAGTAATAGACAACAATCGGATGTTTTTCAAACCTTGGGAACAAGGTTCTAAACATTAATTCCAGTGGGCAGATAAAACATATTACAAGTAACAAAACTTTTATAACTTTCGATAAAATGCGTGGATGTTTTATTGTCATTTTCATTTGTTAGAACTTTTTTAAGCCATGTTTTTATGTGTTTTCGATATTTCAATAATTTTTTATTATAATCTTAAAATATGTCGAATATTATAAACTTAAAAAAAGTTACTAAGTTTTATATTGTGTACCGTTCCTAATATTTCTAATCATTTTAATTCATACTTTAAGCTTTATAAAGTTATAATTTGTTAATATTAATATTTGCGCGTATTTCAGGTTCCTGATCATTCATTTTTTAAAGGTTTATAACTTTAAATTAAATTGTGAAGCGCTGAGTAATCATACGACGTTCAATATTCTTTCTTTCAATATGACTAAATAATCCCAATTATAGCAATCTGATACTCATGTCTCAATGTTTTTTCGCTGAATGTGATGAAAACATTTGAAAAAGGTTCGCTTATTGAAATAAATCTACACCAGTTAGTACTTCGATTTCCAGGTAAAGGGAAAAGGCTCATTATCTGCCATATTGGCAGTGAGGATGGATTTGTTGTTGACGGTCTGTGGTGCTTTGAGTCTAAGAAAACTGGAGATTACCACGAGGAAATAAATGGCGAATCGTTTGAACAGTGGTTTTCAAAAATTTTACCGAACTTAGAGGAAAACGCAGTAATTGTGTTGGATAATGCGCCTTATCATTCTCGAAGAATGGAGAAGGTCCCAATAACGGCTTCAAGGAAAGTTGATGTTCAAAATTGGCTCCGCTCGAAAAATATCAACTTTGAAGAAGCAATGCTGAAAGTACAATTATTAAGAATTGTCAAGGATCACAAGGCGGAATATCAAAAATACGCCATTGACGAAATGGCAGCAAGTCAAAATAAAACTGTGCTCCGTTTACCTCCATACCATTGCGAGCTCAATCCCATTGAGCTCATATGGGCAGAGGTTAAAAATTATATAGCTAAGCACAATACAACTTTTAAATTTTGTGACCTCAAAGGACTTTTCAAAGAAACACTAGAATTAATAAGAGCGCAAAAATGGGAAAACTGTATTAAGCACGTGCAAGACAAAGTTGAAAAGAGAATGTGGGAACTGGACAATATTTTAGAGGAACAAGTCGAGCCATTCATTATTGACGTTGGTGCTTCAGGCAGTAGCGATGATGAAAGCTCATCAAGCTCATCCAATAAAAGATGTCGTTCATCAAATTCGGTAAGTTATAAGTAATTATAAAGCTACTGTATTTTTTAATTAATTACTGACATTTTTGAACCCATTTTGGCAAAACCTATTCAAGAATCTACTTTCTGACAATGTTCAACCATGCACATTTTTTTACGTTTTGAACGTTTTAATTTGGTTACATATTTACCTAGAAATCAAAAAATATACTAATCAATATTCTAAAAGCACTTTTAAGAGATATACGATTATTTTTAATTTAGGCTAATTTAAACGCCATTTTGAGATTATATTCGACTGTATTTCACCAAACATCAGGCGGCATCCGAAGCTGGAAATCGAAGCGAAAATTTTGAAACCCTTATGTATATTTACATCATTTCTTACCCCACCCCCACATGATCCTATATTCATCACCAATCGTATACACATCGAATTGTGCTAATTTACTACAAAGTTACGCAAAGCAGCATCTACTATCTAAAATATGTACTGCGTGACTCTTAATACGTCCCTGCCGAATGTTACAGCGTTCGATGATCACGTGGTCTTGTTTAGGTCTATCTCTTATCTGAATATACTACAGTAGATTAGTACGGGCGTATTTAGACTCTAAATTTCCAAATCAATGGATTGGCAGAGGCGGGCCTATTGCCTGGCTAGCAAGAAGCCCAGATCTCACACCGATGGATTACTATGTGTGGGGACAAATAAAAAGCCGCTTAACAACTAGAGTTACCAAAAGTGAATTACGTAAGAGAATGCGGGCGTGTATTCGTAACAGAGGATTACAATTTGAGCAGAATCTGTAAAATACTAAAGAAAATGTAATTAAATAAAACTGTAATTAAAATAAAAGCCTTTATTTTTATCCTACGTAATTATCGTTCGTACAACTTTACTCACCTTTTTTGAATTTCATGTCTTTGTACTTGAGCTGGTTGTAACTTTTATACCTCAAATGAAAGCTTGTTAGATAGAGATATTATTTATATAATTTGCACATTTCATTACTAGGAGATTTTTTACAAAAAATTTGCATTTTTTATCGAATAAGTTATTAAAACAATAAGAAAATCATACATTTCAAAAGCGTAATTTTAAAATTTTTTCAAGTTTTCAACATTTTATTACTTATTATGAACTATTGGAATGTCCGCTATGCGACGATAACAAAAAACTCAAAATCAAACATGTATTTCAAATTTAACTGTCTGAAAAAAATTAAAAAAATAAAATTCAAATATCTCAAAAACGGTTAACTTCTGGATAGGACATTATAGGACAAAATCGGTTGCTTTTGACCTAATCTATCACCCCTTAACAGGAATACGTGACATCACAAGTCACCCTGTATTTATTAGAATATAAGAATTTTTTACATATAAATTTATCTTGCCATGGACAACAAGCTACACGAAATTTAACATTTAACTGACACCGTATGTATTCGAAAACAGAATGCTTCTTTATCACCAAACAATACACGCAGCCACCACGGAAGCTTAACAGAAAAACCTGACCATTTTATCACTTGTTATTCATGGCAAGGTAAATCGATATGTAAAATAATTCACTCAGTATACTTTACTGGTTAGCAAGGACAAAGTTAAAATTCTTTGTTTGTTAAGAAACGCCATTTCAGAAGATTAACGAAAAAAAATCGAATATCACCTCTCAAATGATCCACAAGACTGTACCGAGTCTGGTCACATCTTTAGACACCATCAATCCGATTCTTCAAAGTAATAAATCGTCACTATCACACGCAAACACTCTCCAGTCGTAAACACTAACTAAGGAATATTTTTATTCAGTTGTAATTCTATAATAGGAAGTCGCCTAATCTGTTGACTAGGCATATACGGAGCAATACAAAAGGAAGGGAAGTAGTATCGGAGATAATAATTAGATACGGTGTACTCGAGTTTCCCACTATTTGCAGCATTCATTGTCAAGCCTACAATGACTGACTCATTCGGTATGCACAACGTGTTAACGCAGCGTCGTATGAATCTTCGCAGACGTTTTAGTCGGAGTGGATTAGCATAACAATCGTCAATCAGTCCAAATAACGTTACGTTCATCTAATTGAATATTTATTCAATTCAAAACTTTTGAAAAAGCATTCTTGAAAATAAAACTAAATTGTAACGTTCACCCCTGGAAACGTTATTTAATTGAATATTTAATCATTTCACTTCCAACTGCACTGGGCGAGCAAGTCCTGTAATCGCGAAAAATTTCAAGATATTATACTAAGTGACATATAAATCCGAACACCCAGTTTAAATGGTTTTATTTTAATAAAAGTTGGTGAATGTATTTATCTTACTGTAAATAACAAGTGAAAAAATTTTCAGCCTTATCAGTTGGACATTCCGGTTTTTATACTGCTTTTTTTTTAATTCGCTAACGCTCTAAAAATGAATATTTCAGCCGCAGTAAAGAATCAACGTTGGCGGATTTTGGTTCTTGACATCCTTTACGATCGGTTACGATGCCTAGAGTACGGAGACCTGTACGATTTCGTCAACTTAGTGAGTTTGATAGGGGCCGTATAGTGGGACTTCGGGAAGCTGGACCTTCTTTTCGGGCAATTGCAGTTAGAGTGCAAAGAAGTGTAGACACTGTGGTTAGGTGTTGTCAGGCATGGCTTCGAGAAGGCGGACGCCGCCGTAGAACAACAGACCGTGAAGATCGCCGCCTAAGATTATTGGCCTTAAGGGACCGTTTCTCCACTACCAGACCAGACCAATTGGCATGCGAAGTGTTTACCGACGAATAAGAAGTTTTGGCTTGTTTTCATACCGGCCACACTGGGTCCTCCCTTTAACTCGAGACGAGTCTCGATTTTCGATGCACGTTACTGTTCTCATGTCGCTCATTAAATATTTCAGCTGTTCTATTAGCGCACTGATTATTTCCGGAAAATATTTCGATAATTTCAACTCTTTCTGCTGTAGAATATACAGGGTGGTCCATAAGTCCTTTGAAATTTCAAATTTGAATAAAATTTAACGGGTGAGCGTGAGCGGCGCGGGCGAGGTGGGGGCAGTATCTTCAGTGTCTGGGAATTCAGTCGCCATGGAGTGTTTCACTGGAGCGGATCGTGCTTTTTGTGTGCGCGCGTTTTATCAAAATAATGATTCGGCAACCATTGCGGGGCGTAAATATCGAGAATACCACAATTTACACAATTTTACAAAGTGTCCAACAGCTCAAACGATTAAGAACTTGGTTGCTAAGTTCGAAGAGACTGGTTCGACGTTAGATAAACAGCGGTGGGGTCGACCAAGGACAACTCGTATTGAAGAAAACATCAACATTGTGGCACAGTGTGTTCGTCAAAATCCTACCCAGTCTACTCGTAAGCGTTCCAGTGCACTAAACGTACCCAGAACATCTTTACAGCTGATTTTAAGGAAAGATTTACGTCTGCACGCTTACAAAATTCAGTTAGTGCAGGAATTAAAAGATAATGACGCTATTCAGAGACTAAACTTTGCGAATGAAATGTTGAATCGATTTTCTTCGCTCAATAATGTGTTGTTCTCGGTCGAGGCTCACTTCCATTTAAACGGGCATGTAAATAAACAAAATTGCCGTTATTGGAGCCCCGAAAATCCAAGGCGTAAGCATCAGAAGCCCTTACACAGCCCTAAAGTTGCAGTTTGGGCTGCTATGTCAGCGCATGGCATCGTAGGCCCTTATTTTTTTGAGGAAGACAGAGGTCGCGCATTAACTGTTACTTCGGAGCGGTATGTAGCAATGATAGAAGAGTTTTTGACACCAGCGTTGCAGAATTTTCCAGGCTATAATACGCAGACCTGGTTTCAACAGGACGGAGCAACTGCCCACACCTCCAACACTTCTATGCCCGTCGTCTGTCAACTTTTTCCCAGCAAAGTAATTTCTCGAAGAGGAGACATTTCCTGGCCACCACGTTGTCCAGATTTGACCCCAATGAACTTCTTTTTATGGGGCTACCTCAAGAGTAAAGTGTACGACACCACTCCGCGATCAGTTGATGTTCTGAAAGAAAATATCCGAAGAAAAATGGCAAGCATTACAGTGTTGACTTGCCGCGCAGTCATCGACAATTTTAGACGTCGTTTATATGAGTGCCGTGATCGTAATGGATTGCATTTAGACGATGTGATTTTTAAAACATAATTCCCATTCAATAAAGATGATAACAAAATATAATAATTCTTCATAATGTAACTAGTTTGGTTTTATTCCTTTTTTTCCAGCTCAAAGGACTTATGGGCCACCCTGTACCATGGTTAATTTATGTAATAAAGCGTTACACGTTATTTTAGCAACAAAGTTTGGTCAAATCAATCGCAAACTATGTACTAAATTCTTATTTAAAATAAGTACGAGATATTTCCTTATCTTTCTTCAAGAAATAACTTTTTTGCCACAAAAAACGCTCCAATAGCTATTTTGAACAACAAAATGTTAAACAAACCATGGGCGTAGTGAAGAAAAGCATTTACTTATTAAGTAAAATCTTTTAGTCAAATTTCTTCTGAAGTACAAACTAATCTGATGTACCTATTAAAGTCTACTTTAAGCTTTAAATCAATAAATCTTCAACGCTACTGAACTGAAGCTCATGCATTTTACATCGTTATAAAGGGAATTGAAAGACCTTTAAAATAAGGTATTACTCGACCTCCCTTTCCATTTAAGATTTTAGGGTTGGTGTCACCCCCGCCCAGGGGGCTGCACGTGTTAACGTGATTTTTTGCCAAACTTGTGTCCCCCTCGAAAACAAAATCGACGGGTCTGAGCGTTTTTCCAAAAAAAAACTGAGCTGCCAGTAAATGCGTGTTTCGCTTTCGATACGCCACCCTGTATTATTCTGAATTAGATTTGTCACAAGTCACAATACTCGTATGTACGTATAAATCGTAAGAATTGTGCCTGTAAACGTAAGTGACGTCAAAGAGGGACAGCGTTACAACACTCTAAGTCGGTCTTGTTTGTGCTATGTCATTTAGTATCTATTTGAATTAAAAAAATTAAAAATCAAGTCTGATAACTTAATTTACAGACCTTGTTTCATATTCATTATGTTGAGAAACGGACGCCTTATAAATATTTTCAACTATAATATTATTTTGTGTTGCGCTGTGTATTTATTTTTAGAAAAAGTAAATTACGAGGAAAGTCACCCTCTTACTCTTCGCTGCACCACGTATTTCACAGTTGACGTAGACAAACTATGTATACCTGATGAGGTTGCGAATTGAGGTGAATTCAAGGTGTGTGGACTCTAGGGAAACAGCGCAATGACGAGACTGAAGAGCAATCTACTTAATAAGGTGTATATCTAGACCCATTATTCATGATTAGCACTTCCTGTAGGTAAACCAAAACAGGAGCATTTCAAATTATCTGCGAGTTGGGGCTAGGAGCACCTGCGTCGCGAAATTGTTGAAATACAGAGCTGGTTAAGGATGAATGATAGCTCTTAAACATGCTCAAGGTATGAAGAAAACATTGACTAGTGCGAGTGGAGTATTCTAAAGCTATTTTGCGATTGTAATATAAATACGAGGGGTGTCCTTTAAGTTTTGCATATAGAAATATAGTAGGCCACACGGATCTAACGTTAGTACTGAATCTTAACCTTACTCTTTAGTAAACTTAAATTAAAAGTTTCACAACAGTACGTACAGTGTTCTCACTACAGCGAATTTTTAAGTGTCACCAAGTCGTTAGAAAAATGGAACTCAACCGAGAACATTTTCGCAACAAGAACGCCTTGCTGAGTTACTGTCTGTTTTCGGCAACGAAGCGCCACATCAGTCGACAATTTCCCGTTGGTATCGAGAATTTGTAACGGTTTCACCGTCCGATCGTATTTATTAAATCACTTCTCGATTATCATTTCATTAATCCCATCTCTAGCTTTTTTACTTGGAAAAATTTCCGCTTGGAGCCCGCTTGATGCGGAGTTCCTGATCTGCGATCTTCCTCGCGCTTCCTTTTCACTTGAGCCGCCGATCTAGCAAGAGCTAAGAATTTTCTTCTCTGTAGCACAAGGTCATATAGCACCATGTGCTAGAATTTCGTAGAATGTGTGTCCGAATAGGACAAAATGATTGGGGCCACCCCATTTCTCTTTCCCTTTCCCTTTCTCTTTCCCTTTCCCTTTGCCTTTGTCTTTGACTTTGCTTTTGCCTTTGTCTTTGACTTTGGATTGCTTGGCCTATCACTTCACCCATGCATGTGCCTTGGCAGCGCCATCGCCTTTAAGTTCAACTTCGCCTACAACTGGTTTTGAAGCCACTATATGTGAGGTCACCCCTCATAACTGGGACCTCCACTTCAAGCACCTGGCCATCCTCGCTTCAGTAAAGTCAAAATGGACCAGCGAAAGATAAGTTGATAGTTTTATAGCAGCGCCAAAGATGTAAAACTTATTTTGTTCTTTAAAACTGTAAAATTGTAATGTAATGAAAATGCTTTTTTGTTAAATAAAATCTGTTAAATTTTTGTGTTCTGTTTGTTCTTCTATCCTCTAGCCATGCTATGGTCGACACACAGCTACACGCCTGTAGATGTCTTCATGCCACCGACTGAGCTACCGGAAGCTAATGGTAACCCCCTTTCTGTGATTGTGCAGAAAAGTTGGAATCTTCATTGCATTCCATCTTTTCTGGACTTTTTGCGGAAAGGAAGCGTTACAAATTCACACGTGGACGGGTGAG